AGTTGAATAGCCCTCACTAATACATATCAGCATATTAGGTTTGATAAAAATATCTTGAATGATTTATTTAAAACTGAGCTTAACACTTATTTAAGAAAAGAGAGGTCAAGGTCAAAGGAAAGGTTGAGGTCAAAATGTTGAAGCAGTTGAAAAGCTAACATCAGTATGTATTTACTATTAGCATATGAAGTTTGATAAAAATATCATAAATGGTTTATTTAAAACGTAGATAAACACTAATTTAAAAAAGTGAAGTCAAGGTCAAAGGAAAAGTCAAGGTCAAAAAAGTAGATGATAATCATAGCTCTCAGCAGTATGTATCAGCATATGAAGTTTGATAAATATATCTTGAATTGTTTATTCAAAACTGATCTAGACACTAATTTAAGAAAAGTGAGGTCAAGGTCAAAGGAAAGGTCAAGGTCAAAAAGGTTGATGCAGTTGAAAAGCTTACATCAGTATATATCAGCTTATGAAGTTTTATTACAGTAATTTGAATGATTTCATTAAAAATAAGCTAAACACTAATTTAAAGAAAAGTGAAGTCAAGGTCAAAGGAAAAGTCAAGGTCAAAAATGTTGATGCAGTTGAATAGCTTACATCAGTATGCATCAACATATGAAGTTTGATTACACTATCTTTAATGTTATCTTTAAAACACTAGTTTAAGAAAAGTGAAGTCAAGGTCAAAGGATAGGTCAAGGTTAAAAAATGTTGATGTAGTTGCATAGCTCTTATCAATATCTATCAGCATATGAAGTTTGCTAAAAATAACTTGGATGGTGTCTTTGAAACTGAGCTTTGAACTGAGCTAAAAGCAAAGCATGACAGAAGGACAGACGGAAGGACAGACAGAAGGATGGAAGGATGTAAGATGGATATGACAAACACTATATGCCTCGGCCATTATAATTCATGGAGGGGCATAAAAAAACTTTAATCTACACTATATGAGGATGTTTCCCTATCAAAATGACTAACAAGCAAATTCAAAGAATTGGGTCCCCTACTTTCCGTGTCTTAGTGGATGGGATGCCATTATTTATGGCATATTGTTTCAAATATGCACGCCCTATCATTTGTCATTCAAAAGTAATCTGCAAAGTTAAAATTTTTGAAAATTAGGTAAAACATCAAGGTCAAGGGGTAAAAAATCATAGCATGCTCAGAAACATCTTGTTACAGGTAATGTACATGTCAAATATGAAAGTCCTATCTCTTCTCAATCAAAAGTTATAAGGAAATATAACATTTTTGAAAAGTAGGTTAAACTTCAAGGTCAATGTCACAGGGTCAAAAGTCATGATATATTTAGAAAGGTCTTGTCACAGGTAATATACATGTATAATATGAATGCCCTATCTTTTCTCTTTTAAAATGATCAATTTAAAATAATGTTAATTTTTTTGAAAAGTAGGTCAAACTTCAAGGTCATGGTCATGGGTTCAAAGATCATTGTATATTTAAAAAGTTCTTGTAGGTTATGTACATTTGAAATATGAAAGCCCTATCTCTTATTATTCAAAAATTATGACCAAGGTTAAATCTATTGTGACAGACGGACAGACTGACAAACAGAAAGACTGACAGACAAATGAGATTTAATGTCCCCTAGGTCCCTTTCACGAAAATGGGGGACAATAGTGCCCTTGCTGTTCTTGAGAAGATTTATGATGGAAAAAATCCCCTGCATTTTTCTATGTAAATCTTTGGATCCCCATATGTGGCCCCACCCTACCCCAGTGGGTTATAATTTGAACAAATTTGAATCTACACTAAGTCTATGTAAAAGAAAGTTTCAACTTTTTGGGCCCAGTCAGTGGTTCTTGATAAGACTTTTTTAAATGATACCATCAAATTTTCACTAATTCTTGATTATCTCCCCTTGAAAGAGGGTGTGCCCCTTCATTTGAACAATCTTGAATCCTCTTTACCTGAAGATGCTTTGTGGCAAGGTTGGTTAATATTGGTGGTTCTAGTGAAGAAGACAGAAATGTGAAAAGTTTACAGACGGACAGATGGATGACAGACAAAATGTGATCAGAAAACCAGAAAAACTCAAGTGAGCTAAAAACTTATGATCACAAGGACTTGGAAAGAGTTACGGTATTTGAAAAGCAGCTTTTTTTCATGCATTGTTTTAAGAAGCTGAAAATGTATGACTTGTATCCATGTTGAAAAAAAACTGCACATTTTAGGAAACAGTATGATTAAAAATAATTAATCTTTAAGCATGTTAAGGTGCTTTGAGTAGCAAAATAAGCTTAAGTGGTATAGCTAATTTAACCACAGAGCTTAGGTTAAGTCAATTTTAATATGCACAACCTTTTCAACTCTTAATCATTCTTTAAATATTTATATCATCATTTCTGATTCAAGGGAGAACTAGAGATATGACCAGAAGTATATCTGTTGACTAATAAACATGTACATGTATATTGTGTTTTTTAAGCCATTTTGTTTGTTTGTTGTTAAATGCCCCTCTCGGGAATTTTTCACTCATATGGAGACACCACCACTTAAAAATAATGAAGACGTACAAGTCGGATTAGAGGTTAACATTCATTTTAGGAGTTTTCAACAATTAAGACGTAAAGAGATAACTGACCTTCCCCTCACCCCTTCCCCTTAAATCCCAGACCCCTGTTTGTTCATGTATGCAAACTAATACTTTGTTTTGACATAAAAAATGTGAATATATACAAATAGTTTAATGGTCCATCTCTTTGAATGATTTTCATTCCTAATTCTAGGAGGGTACATGGGTTGACCCAAATTCAAGAATGAAATGTCAAGCAATCTTATCATTGATGCACTTTTATTTAATTTGATGTAGACATATTGTGAACATTTCCAGTTCATTAAGAGAGTGGGGATGACCTCCAGGGGTTCATAACCTTAAACCATTAGATATACATAACATATTAATAACACAAGAAACAAAATTATGCATAGTCAAATGGAAAAGTTTTCTACTTTTTTGGAGTCACATGACCATGTATTCTGGTCTAAAATAAGAAATACCGAGAATGCGCTTAATACATTACCAAACCAGCTCAAAGTTACTCAAAGTGCTAATGCACTTATTACCTACTGTTAGAGACCACCATTTGTCATTTCAGGGACAGGGAGCGGCTAGAGAGATTGCCCCTCCCCCCCTCTGGAATTTGCATAGTTGTTTAAATAGGACTATGATTATACTGATTTACAGAAGCAAATTAAAAAATGACTGGACGCCCTTCCCCTATAAAAAACGGACCCCACCATCATTGTTTTTATTTGTTTGTTGGTTTTTGTTTTTTGTTTGTTTGTTTGTTTGTTTTTTGCTTTACAGGAAATTCTGGGCTGGGCTGGAAATTTTTCTGACTGAGGTGTGCCCCCCCCCCCCCCCCCGAAAAAATTCCTGGATCTGTGCATGTAATTGAATGTAATGTCGACAACGGGAGATAACTCTTCATAATGTGAAATTCGTCTACTGTGGCATCCGATGATCTTTGATCCTTTTTAAACTTTAACCTAACCATTTGCATTTCGGTTTATTTTACCCCAATCTATACTTAAATTTGTACCTACCGACTGTCATAGGTCCTTTTAACTTCATGAAATATAATCCAATTAAAACACAAAATGAATTAATAATTCCTACTGATATACACGTAATGATGTTTTCACCACACTGCACCATGTGCAATCACTCGGCACACCTCGGCCGATTCGTACCTTATCTTACGTTCTTACGTTTGATGAAGGTGACGGAATCAGCCAAGGTTTGTCGAATGCATGTGCAATCTAAAAATGATAATGGTAAAACTAGTACTAGTAGGGTGACGCAAGCCCAATGTGATGAAGAAATTTTTCAAAAAGGTGTTCACATACATGTACAGTACAAGAACAAATTTTAAATTATCATAGCGATGTTTTTAACATAACTTTGCCATCTAGACCTATTTCCAAAAACAGGCAAATTGTGTGTGAGGGGGGTGTGTGACAAAATTGATTGGGTAACATGGCTTTTCAAGAGGGTTTTTACCTAATTAAATATTAAAAAAAGTTTGCACACTTTGATAAATTCATTAAAAACGCTTTGTACTAAAATAACATTATTTTTTGTTGAGAAAATGAATTTAAAAAGTTCAATTATGGGCCAAAACTTTATATCCCCCCTTTTATCAAAACCTAATTTACATCATTAATTAAATTCTGTTATTTCAGACTGGTAATGAATTAAGTAAAGGAAATACCTATAAGAGGCTCATAAGTCACATGGTCACCTGAGCATTTTATGCTCGATTTGACGAATACATGTACTGTTTAAATTATAGAATTATTTTGGTTTTTTCCTTGGTAGGCCCAATATGAAGGAGTGTGCATTTAGAGGCAAACACCTTAGTGCGGGTATTACTGTCTCATGACAGCATCTAGTTTAATTTGTACATATACATGTACTTCCTCATTTAATAAGACAAGATATTACTCTGGAAGAAATCCTTTAGGTCGGTAGGACTCAATGAATACTATGCAATCACTGATGTTTTTCTTTTTAGGTCAATACGATGATTTATCCACCTGAGGAGTACAATATTCAGCGAGACCAAAGGGTGAGGTGAATATTGTACTTTAAGACTGGCGAAATCTTTGTACATGTATTGGGAAAAAATATAATTGTTTTATTACATTATTCAATGAATAAATGATACAAACTCATTAAGCAAACCCTTGCCATCTTTTTCGATTGTTTACATTTATTGAAGTCCTAGCCAAACGCTATAAGAGAGAAACATTATACATTTATTGCATGATAGTGAGGGAGATATGAAGATTTCTTCGCCCGTGAAAATCATATTCCCCGAGGGCAACGCCCTCGGGGAATATGATTTTTCATCGGCGAAGAAATCTTCATGTCTCCCGAACATTCATGCAATAAATTGTTTATTATACCGAATCAAGCAGGAAATATAAAGAAACTCCAATGAATAAAGTAAACATCTGATAAGAACAATATGAAGCAACTGTAAGTTACACCACTAGTCGCGCTTCATAAAAATACTCTGAATTTCCTTCGTGACAAGTCAGTGTGATTTACACACTATAACATTCACACCCAAGCAATGAAACCACTTTTCTAAATGTTTATCTTTTACAAAATTTGAATCGACACTATCAATCAAAGACATAAACATTATAACTCAGTAGTAACCATCTCAGTCGCCGCATTGTGACGTCACAATCGTGAAACACGAAGTTTTGTTGCAGGGCAAACACGATGGTCACGTGACTGTCTCGGCCAATCAGATTCTATTAAACAAGTGATTATTTTTATGAGGTATAATAAAACCTGTTGTACTAATTTGGAATTTCTTCATCTAGCTATTTTTGGACGATGCAGAAAAAAATGTCATGTTCACCTGGATGTCGGGTGCAGGTGATGTAACTTTTCATACATGTAACCAATTGTATCAATTTAGAAGTTCTTGATTAATTTTGATCCAATGTAGAAAAAACATACATGCATTATTGTTATGTTCACCTGGAGGGTCGGTTGTAGGTGAACATAACTTATAATAATTTCTACAATGTTGGATCGATCTTAACCAATCCAAAACTAAGAATTATAAACTCACATACGTGTTATAATGTTAATTATTTAATATAGAGACGCATAATTGGATCTACAAGAGGGCAAGAGTTATAATTTCGGGTTGGATTTTACAATTCTACTTGATAAAATTCATATTCTGAAATCGTCGTTTTGATTAAATGACCGAATCGATTTTATTATCCCTAAACCCCCGGACATGTTTCAGATCAAAGCTACAAGTCTCTTGTGACAAGATCGTTTCCGAGTCAAAAGCTGTATTTCTCTTAATGAACTATTTTCATATAAATTCCTCTAACAAGGCCATAAATATGTCTTTAATATTACACGCTTCTTTTTAATTACAGGATGTGCTAATGTGGACCCAGCATTTCCGCATTAAGAATACCATGTGAAGACAATTAATAGTCGTTAAAAGGTCTGCATTGGGGATATGAAAAGCGTACATTAAAAAAAGTCAAACAACGAATGAAAATTAACACAAGCGACTTCAACATTCTGGAAAACTGTGCAATTAACCTCACATAAACTTTTCCATATTTTGCTTTAGCAAGATAAAGTATGCACGTAAATTGAACTCTCTGTGCTTTGGAAATTGTTAGCTATAATTGACATTTATCACTATTGAAGTCCAAGTTACATCCTTAAAGAGTGAAAATGAACCCCATATCAGCAAGTCTAATAGCAGTGGATTTCCTTCTTATTTTTACCATTACTTTCACTAACACCTTTGCAATCGTCCTTATCTTGAAGAAATCAAAAAGAAATTCTAAAAATTTACTTCTAGTCTCTCTGTCACTTTCAGATATTGCCGTTGCAGTTTTTGTTATCCCTAACGTTATTTTCTTGAAATTGCACAACTCTTCTATAAGCCCAGTCATATGTCAAATTTGCTTGTATGCAGAATACATGGCAAGTGCTGCAAATGTCTTTTCTATTTCCGTTCTGGCTATGGACAGATTCAGAGCGTTGGTGTATCCTCTAAAAAACAGGGGCACCAGGCGCGAAGCGGTATACGGAAGTATTGTACTGATCTGGATTGCATGTCTTTTCTATGCTATACGGGCACCTGTTGTTTTCAGGGGTAAGATGTTCAAAGTTGGAAGTGGGAACTCGACGGATGTGAAGTATGGCTGTGCTATACCAGACCCTATCCTAAGTCTGCACGCTGGATTTATTGTACTCGATTTCATCATCCTCTTTGTCATCCCAGCGTTAATTTTGATTAGCTGTAATGTTAAGGTTTCTTTAGAACTGTGTAATAAAACGCCTGTTACCTCCACCATGCCAGAGACAGTAGGAAAGAGACGCAGAAGGGCGGTGCGAATTTTGCTAATCTTGATTTTATTATTCATTGTCCTTAATTTTCCGTTACATTGTTTCCGAATGGCCAGACATGTCTTTAAGCAGACTGTTTCGGAAGCGTCAACAATCGGACATGTACTTCTGATTCTCACCTTCACCAATAATTCATTGAATGTTTTCTTCTACGCATTGCTAAACGAAGACATAAAGACTGTCTTCTTGACCTGTTGCAAAGGGAGACGAAATCAGGTTGCACCTTCAACCAGTTCAACAAATAGGGCAATCCAACAATCAACTAGGAATACCAATGTGTCTAAGTGTATTAATCAGTCATGAATTACAATTTTGTTATCAATTTATTCAAGAGGAGTCATTTAAGAAATTCGATGTTGTTTTATTTTGTTACATAAATGAACATTTTTTCTTGCCAATGTATTGTTTGAACTGCCAGAATAATCTATATCTCTCCTTTGACCTAAGTCTTGTTGTTCTGATTTTTTTAAATGAATTAATAAACTGATTTCTTTTTATTTTGAGTAACAATATAACGTAACCTTACATGTACTCCTGTATGTAGCATTGCAAGAACACTTGATTGAATCGTTCCATCGACCGAGGTCCCATTGTTTTAGACTCGAAATAAAGTGCCATATTTCGGAATAGTTATCTCAAATATTTTCAAAATACAAAATCAAAATAATGTAGATGACACAGGTACTTGTTTCGTATACGGGACACTCCCTACTTATTTTTACCACAAGGTACCTAATTCAATTTCAAGCACCCCCGCTTCAAGCTCATATTTTGTTAATATATCAATCATTAACCTACTTTAAAATGACATCGTTCGCTTCGAAAGACTTTTTTCTTGTCAAATTAATCATTTCAGATTTCTCTGGTCGAGCTTCTTTATTGTAAACCACTCATTTATTCCTCGAAAATTACCTCGATTCATAATGGGATACAAAAGCTTCCGCTTGGGGTTATAAATGTAGGATAAAACCAAAGACTTCCCAGTATTCCATTCCGAGGTCTCTGGTTTTATCCTTCATTTATAACCCCAACCGGAATCTTTGTATCCCATCTAAAGTCTTATTTTGTATCGAGGTAGTTTTCGAGGAATTATTAATGAGTAATAAATGAGAAACGTCTGAAACGAGCAGTAGGACACAGAATTATGAACAAGGGAGTTTTTAAAAAGCAGTTCTTTCCACAGGTGCTTGGGGACGGGCCCCCCTCTCGTATTCCATACCCCAAGGGTTCTTGGATTTTTTAAAAAATATTTGTTCATTTCAATGTTTCCACTATCTGCTTCCTTAACTATTTGCAATTTCCCTCTAGTTACCCATACAATGCGTCGAAATATATTTTTTAGTCACTACGGTATTACCTTCAGGCATCCCCCTTAACTATAACTCTTCAGTGTTCTCTCGACGCCATATTGGACATGCGGTTTTCCTCATACAGTGCAAACAAAAGTTTAAATTGGCGTCTTTGGAAGTGTTTATCGCGTTGTAAAAATGGAGAATGAGTTGAACATACCAGACAATCACGTTTTGTCACAAGCATCGTCTCTGCAACGAGGCCTTTCCATGTGACACATGTAAAACATTGTCAAAGGAACGGCGGGATAAAGTAACTAAAATAACTGAGAAAAGCGTATAGAAGACTATAAAAATGTACAGTAAGGTGTCTCAATCCGTCTATGGAGACGGTTTGACAGGACGCAAGTCCGTCTGTGGAGGCGGCAGTCCATGAGTCGAACAACAATGGCGACCGTATTAACAAATGTTGATCAGGGGTCGGTGGATTAGAGGTCGTTGATTTATCAGCAATTATTCAAGACCAAGTAAGACAGCAGGTTGAATTACTACTTAAGCAAAAGGATGTTGATATAAATTTTAATGATCAACATAACGTATCAGTAGGCGAGGTAAGGTTGACCAGAGGAAATGAGAGCGTCAATTCCAAAACGGCAACCATAGGCAGACCTCAAATGCATCTATTGCAGGTTTGTATACTAATTCAGATGCGCCAGCAGAGGTACCTTTTGGTTTACCAGATTCCTCTGATCCTCTGCAGTGTAACTGTTTTCAATATTGTTCTCAATATTGATCTTGAAGCTGAGGATCCATTGGAAAATGAGAGAAAATCATTTATTTCTTCTCGATTGAAAGGAGACAAGAGTGACAAGAAAAAGTTTCTCCTCAAAATGCCTATTGGAGGAACACTCATTGATATGATCAAAACAGTTGAAGTTACCTCGGGGCATTTGAAAAATATGTCAGTACGTGGCAGAGATGATAAAGCATTTATGGTGAAAAAAGATGACTTTGACGCCTTTTGTAATCCTCCAAAATTAGAGGACAATATTGAGGAGGGGATAGTAGTAGGCCAGAAACTTAAGGTAGTTGTGGAAAATCAAAAGTTAATCTCTCTCCTTTTCATAAGGAGTTAGACAATGACTTTAGGCGAATTGACAATTCAGCCAGGGCCATTTCTTATGGTACTATTATAGCAGCATTTTTAGATGAGGCTGAATGTGAGGATGATATAGTGGAAGGACATAAAGCTCTCATCAACTGTTTCAGAAGTTTTGATTTGACAGCAATTAAGAGGAATGGCAAATTCAGTCTTGAGTAGAAGAAAAGTTTTTCTTAAAAATGTAGACTTTATTAGTAAGGCAACGGAGAAAAAATTGCTGAAACTCCCTATTTTTGGCATCCAGTTGTTTAATGGAGAGTACTTTGAATCTCTCTATACTTCTGCAGAGAATCTACGAGATGAAAGAGAAACCCAAAATGTTTACAACACATCAAAGGGGTATAATAAGAACTACAAGAGTAGAGATAGTAGGAACTCCACCGAGTTGAGTAGGAAGAGGAAAGCAGATGTAGCTGAGACCTCTGTTCTTTCTGCTAAAGTGGCTAAATCAAATGAGTCAAGTAATACCTTGAGTTCTGATCAGGGCAAGGACAATTTTCGTGCAGGACAGGGAACAGGAAGAATTATTTTCCAGGAGAACCTCTGGCGGGCCAAAAATGGTTTCCAACTCAAAGGAAGTGAATTTTGTAAACAGTCGGTCTTGTAAATATGCTTCCCCAGTAGGGGCACGTTTGTTAACATTCCACAAAAAGTGAACTTCAATTACTCAGGATCAATGAGTATTAGAAACCCTAAGGGAAGGGTTAAAATTGGAGTTTATGATTCAACCCTATGTAAAGATCAAGGAAACGTGTGTACCAAGATATGGTATTCACGAGTCAGTTATTTTAACAGAAATAGGCATGTTGTTAGAAAAAGATGTTATAGAACCTGTCAAAACGAAGGGTTTTACAGCACCAATTTTGTGGTGCCAAAGAAACAAGAAGGGCTTCGGACAATTCTAAATCTGAAACCTCTAAATCAGTTAATAGTGCCTCGACATTTCAAAATGGAGACGCTATTTTCTATAATGAAAGCAATGAAAAAGGGGACTTTGCAGTCTCATTCGGTTTGACCTATGCCTATTTTCACATTCCAATTCACACAGAATTCTAGAAATTTCTACGATATTTCTAGACCAGAGTTACCAGTTTCGAGCGATGCCTTTTGGACTTCGTTCAGCTCCAAGGGTCTTCACAAAAGTAATGGCAGTTCTTGCAACACACTTAAGAAAAATGGTAATGCAAATATTCATGTACCTAGACGATTGGTTGATGATCAATTCAGACAAGACAACTCTTCTTCAGCGGAGAGATCTAAATATGTCTTACATCTAGTTCAGGAACTGGGATTGTTAGTGAATTGGGAAAAGTCGTCTCTAGTGCCATCCCAACATAGAGAGTATCTGGGAGCAAATTTCAATCTGGTAGAGGACATTGCAACACCTACAGAATCCAGGCCCCAAGACCATGAACTGAGAACAGACTTAAGTCAAAATTTCAAATCCACATAACTTTTGAAATAATTTTGACAACAGAACAAAATTTTCATCATATGTTTAAACTGGAATATTATACAAACCTGCAAAAATTTAAGTATTTATGTTAATAAAGCTCAATATATTCAAAATCAAAATTTTGACTTAAGTCTGTTCTTAGTTTATGGTCTGGAGGCCAGGTTTCAGAGTATTCTAGACATTGTGCAGACTTTATCAATAAGTCAGCACACTCAAGCTGTAGTGATTCTCAAATTGTTAGGACTGATGGCTTCATGCATTCATCTTGTTCCTATGGCAAGGTTACACTGCGTCCTATACAGTTATACCTGTTAGCAATGTGGAGACCAAAGATTCACCCTCTTACTCATGTGATAGTGATTCGTCCAGTCTTAATTCAGCACCTTCAATGGTGGATGAATCGGGAAAACTTTTTCAAAGGATTGCCTTTGCAAGATCCGCCAAGTCAACTGACATTGATAACAGATGCGTCAGAACAGGGTTGGGGAGCACATCTGGAGAACTTGGGACGTCAGGGATCTGGCCCAAGCAATATCAACAGAAACAAGAAGCTCTATTTTTAATAAAAGGAAAAGTGATCTTTATACGGTCAGACAACACAACAGTGATAAGTTATATCAATAAGCAAGGGGGACAAATTCACCAGAACTGTGTTATCTAACTTGTGAGTTGTTCCAGTGGCGCATTCAGTACAGAATTACAATACGAGCTGTTCACATTCCAGGGAAGAAGAATTTTCTTGCAGATGCACTTTCCCGGGGAAAAATAGTACGAATGACGGAATGGTCGCTCAACAACACTGTCGTAAATTTGTTGTTTCAACAAATGGGAACCCCATGTATAGATTTGTTTGCAACTGCGCAAAACAAGAAGTTGACAGCCTTATTGCCCTCCGTTTCCAGACATCAATGCTCTTCAAGTAGATGCACTATCAACCAGTTGGAAAGGGATGTATGCTTATGCATTTCCAACACCAATTCTTGTACCCAAAGTCTTACAGAAGATATGGGAAAAGACAAGTGTTGTACTACTCATTGCTCCAATGTGGAACAGGCAGTCTTGGTACCCTCAGATAATAGATCTTTTGATCGATGTACCAGTCAAGTTACCACTGTGGCCAGATCTTCTGTCTCAAAATCACAATCAGATTTTTCATCAAAACCTAGAAACTCTCAATCTGTTAGCATGGAAACTTCATATTGCAACACAAGTCAAGAGGATTTTCTGAAGAAATTGCAGAGATTATGGCGAATGCCAGAAAGACATCTACACAAACAGTTTATGATGCAAGACTCAGAATACATGTATATAACAGTTGGTATAAAGAACATGGTGTCAATCCTGTTACAACATCTGTACCAGAGTTAGCAGATTTTTTATGTACCTTTTCAAGGTG